GCTTCCTGAACCAAAGTTGTGCACCTCTGAAGCCTCCCGCTGTCACCTCAGCAGAAACCAGTAGGGGCTGTTTCCTGTGTTTTTATGCCATGACAAGGCACTTAGGGAGCAGCCATTCATCTCTGCGTGTTCACCTCCCAGCTGGGACTTAAATATGGAGCCTTGGTCAGCACAGGGAAGCTCCAGCGCTGGCTGTTGAACAGAGTCTACTAACAAAGCAGCCCTCCTTGTGAAAAAAAAGCCTGTGTCCCTGCCCTTGTGCTGGATGCTTTTCATCAGGCATCGAGTGTGGATCTCACTGGTCTTTGAACACTGAGATGCCATGTCTGTGGTGTGTGTATGTGTGTGCATGCATGTATGTTGCCTATGAGTGTGTGTAGACCAGAGGTCAACTTTAAGGTTTTTGTTTGTTTGTTTGTTTTTGACATGGAGGTCTCACTATATAGCCCTGTCTGGTCTGGAACTGGCTATGTAGACCAGGCTGGCCTCACACTCAGAGAGATTTGCCTGTCTCAGCCCCTAAGTGCTGGGATTAAAGGTATGTGTCACCATGCCTTTAATATATATATATATATTTGTGTGTGTGTTTCTGTATGTGGAGGGCATGCATGCCACAGCACAGTGTGGCGGTCAGAGGAAAACTTGTGGGGTTTGGCTGTCTCTTCCACCATCTGGAACCCAGGGATAGAACTCAGTTCCTCAGGCTTGGTAGCTGTGGCCTGTCAGTCCACTGAGTCAGTCTCACTGGTCCTCACTGAAGACAAAATCTCTCACTGAACCTGGTGCAAAGCTGTGGCCAGACTGGCCGGCCACCAGGACTCTCTGTTTTTGCTCCCCGGTGCTGGGGTTGAGACCAGTGATGCCATCCCCGCCTTCTATACGGGCACTGTGGATCCAAACTCAGGTAGTCTTCCCTGCACAGCAGGCATTTTACCCACCGAGCCACCTCCCCTGCTCTTCACCCCATTCTATCAGTTGGAAAATCAAGTCAAGACTCAGGGAGGTGGGTGAAATGCCCCATATAGCTAGGAGCTGCCATGTTATTTGATAGGGGACTTCCTGGAGGAGTTTGGGGCTGAATTGGCCTGTTTTGGAAGAGAATCATATGGGTGTTGCTGGGGTGAAAATCTGGCCTAGTACAGTGACCAGAAAATAGTCCCCGGAGAAAGGAACTGTAAACAAGCTAAATATGTAGCCTAGGCTGACTTGGAACTCATGATAATTCTCCTGCCTCTGCTTCCTGAGTGCTGAGATACAGGTATGCATTACTATGCCTGGATGTCTAGGGCTTTTTATACTTTATTGTTTTGAGTCAGGGTTTCATATAGCCCAGGTTGGCCTCATCCTCACTATGGTGCTGAGGGTGACCTTAAGCATCCTAATTCCACTGCCTCCACCTCCTAAGCACTCCCCACCAGGTCCGGTTTATACAGTGCTGGAGAGTGAAACCCAGAGCCGTGCATGCCCAACTCCCAACCCAATGCCAATTGCCCTTTAAGCTCCAAGATGACTTCTTTCCAGGTGAACACCCCTGCGTCCTCTCTCAGGGCTTCTCCTTTGCCCTTCCATGCCTGTCCAGTGCCTCCTGCATGCCTATCACCCCCCCACCCCCAGTCCCTCATACCTGGACCAACTACTTTCCCTTCCTCATTCCTTACCTCTGAGTGCCTCTCCCAAGTTCAGGGAGCCAGAGGTGGTGGATGTGCTGTTTGAGGTCTATATAGGATTCTGTGCAGTATGGGGGCACTCTATAGGTGGTGTGCATCTGACTGATCCCACAAATCTGTTTTCATTCCTAATCTCTGGGACAACCACACAAATATGTAAATATATACATATACATATGCAAATATATGATATATGTTATATTACAAATGGTGGTGTGTGTGTTTTGTTTGTTTTTGAGTCTCATGTATCCCAGGCTTGCCACTAATCCACTGTGTAGCTGAGGATGGACTTAAACTACTGATCCTCCTGCCTCTATCTCCCGAGTGCTGGATTACAGACGTGCACCACCCACCATGCCTGGCTTGATGTACAATGTTGTTTTGCTTTCTATTCTTGTTCTATATTTTCTGGAGAGTTACAGCTAGACACATGTCTTCCTCCATCTCTTGCCCTGTCTACCAGTGCAGATACAACTCATTTAACCGCTGTCTTATGGAAAGGCTGTGTTTTAGTTTGGGTGTTTAAAATAATGCCTGGGGCTGGAAAGATGGCTCAGTGGGGAAAAAAAGAAAAGAAAAAAAGAAAGAAACAATTTCTGTTCTTCCAAAGAAGCAAGTTCACTTCCTGGAACCCATGTGAAATGATCTGTAACCCCAGCTCCAGGGATCTGATGCCTTCTTCTGGTTCTGTGGGCTCTGTGCTCATGTGAAATATATGTACACTTAAGTTAAACAGTGCTAAGTGAATCTTTTTGTCATATAGCTTGGCAGTTACACGTGTATCTGTAGGCTGAACCCTTGAGTACAGTGTTTAGGACAGTTAGGTTGAAGAATATATGAACTTGTAGTTTTGTAGATTTCTCCAAATCGCGATCAAAGGTAGAAAGACTTTGTACTCCTCACAATCAAATGGATGAGAGTATCTGTAGTTTTGTAAAGTTTTTCTGACTCATCTTGGGCAGCTGAGGGTAAGACAACAGGCTTTGCTAAAACATTAGTGTCCTCTGCACTCCCCCACCCCACATAGCCCACTTGGGACTGGAGTTGGGTAGGGGAGATGTCTCAGCCTGATCCCTGACTGCCATTTTCTCTTCTCTTCCCATGACTCTGGTTAGGACACGGAGTTACAGAGGAAACTAGACCATGAGATCCGGATGAGGGAAGGGGCCTGCAAGCTGCTGGCAGCCTGCTCCCAGCGAGAACAGGCTCTGGAGGCCACCAAGAGCCTGCTGCTGTGCAACAGCCGGATTCTCAGCTACATGGGCGAACTGCAGAGGCGCAAGGAGGCCCAGGTGCTGGAGAAGACAGGCCGGAGGTGAGCAAGGGAGGGGATGTGCCTGAGGGAGGGAGGCTTTAATCCATGCTTCAGCAAGTGGCTATGTGGAGTGTTGGGGGCTCAGATCAACCTCCTGATGGGGACTCCCTCACAAACACCTGTCCTGACCAGGAAAGACACCTTAGTGTTTACCATGGTGGTAGGTCATCCCGAGTAGCTGGGGCTGGACTCAGGAAAGCCAGGGTATCTGAGGGCGGCTGGCAGTTCAAACCACAAGTAATACAAACATGCTAATTGGTTATGGCCTGCCCATGATCTGCTATATCCGGCTTGTTGTCTGGAAAACTAATTTTCTCAAAGCCAGTTCACCAAATGGCCCATTTACCACAATTTGACAGTAGCATGTTGTACCTGGGGTTCACCATCAGAGGCAGGAGTTGAGAAAGCACATAATTGAAAATCACTTAAAGGAAGGCTCCCCATTTGTAGAAATTGGTTGTGCAGCGGAGCTCAGCCTGAGTTTGTGACCTACACACAGTGCCAGTGCTATAGTGCACTCTGGCAGTGACAGGTCAACCTTGAGACAGCTGGAGTCAAGTGAAAATGTTAGAAAATACTTGACAAATGCATTGCTCTGCGGATTGGCTGTTTTGGTAGATGAGTCATTTGGGGAACAGCCTACCTCATTGAGGCTGCATGGGAAGAGGGTCCCAACCCTCACTGGCATGGAGGAGTTGAAGGAGAGGTTGCCAGGGGCTCACCAGGAAGCCCACAGAAGGAGAAAACACATTCCATTGCTGCTTCATTTAGCAAGAGGCCAAGCAGGCAGGGAGCAGCTCTCTCAGGCAGCCACGGGCAAATCGACCACACAGCCCTCAGAGTGGGAAAATAAAGTACATTTAATTCCCTAGCTGCTAGTTGTGCTATTCTGTGTACTCATATCAAAGACAAGATGAAAGCTGGACATGGTGCTTTATGCCTGTAATCTCTGCACGTGGGAGGCTGAGGTGAGAAGATTACTGAATTTGAGGCCAGCTTGAGCTACAGAGTGAGACCTTCACTCTCAAACACCTGAGATATTGGGAACAAGTAGCTTCTAAAATTGCAGGGAAAACCTTCCAGTCTCTCCAAGTCATGGTTTTTTTTTTTAAATATTTATTTATTTATTTATTTATTTATTTATTTATTATGTATACAACATTCTGCCTTGCTGTATGCCCGCACGCCAGAGCAGGGCGCCAGATCTCAGTACAGATGGTTGTGAGCCACCATGTGGTTGCTGGGAATTGAACTCAGGACCTCTGGAAGAGCAGCCAGTACTCTCAACCTCTGAGCCATCTCTCCAGCCCTCCAAGTCATGGTTTAATGGGTGTGTGTTTGTGTGTGTGTGTGTGTTAGCGGGAGGTTGGGGGAGGCTTAAAAGGGAATCTCTTTCGGCACCTGTCCCCTCAAGGCCCCACTTGTCCCTTACTGGGGTCTGGATGGCCAGGACCAATGCTAGGATGAGGACCCAGAGCTTGGGTACTATCCCTGTGTGCTAACATTGCTCAAACGTCCCCAAGACCAGCAAACTTCTGGGCGCTGTCAATATCTCTCCTCCAGTCCCTTGGTCCTGCCATGCCAACCAGGCTAGGAATCAGGGGCCCCTTAGAGCCCTTGGGAGTCAGAACAAAGGGGAGGAGAGGGAAAGACCAGGCCAGGACTCTGTGATCTGCCCACAGACCTTCCGACAGTGTGCCGCCCCCTGAGCGTTCCCCTTGCCGTGGCCGGGTCTGCATCTCTGGTAAGAAACATATAACTGCCACAGAGGCTGGTACCCCTCACCCCACCACACCACCGCCTGGCTGCTTCTAACCCCTCTTCCTTCCCGTCTGCCCTTTAGACCTCCGGATCCCACTCATGTGGAAGGACACGGAGTATTTCAAGAACAAAGGCGGTGAGTGTCACATACAATGGGACAAAATCAGGAAAGTGCTCCGAGACAGAGGCTCTTGTTGACATTTTAATGCTTTTATTTCTCTTTTTCTCTTTATTTTCAGACCTGCACCGCTGGGCTGTGTTCCTGCTGCTGCAGCTCGGGGAACAGATTCAGGACACAGAGATGGTCCTGGTGGACAGGACTCTCACAGACATCTCTTTTCAGAACAATGTGCTCTTGTGAGTTCCTTGGCTATGGCTCGTTCCTTCCTTCCTTCCTTCCTTCCTCCCTTCCTCCCTTCCTCCCCCCTTCCTTTCTCCACTCCAGCTCCTTATGGGGTTGCTATGGGGGCAGAGGTGAGGGGGGAGAAGGAGAGGCAGATGACTCCTGGGCACCTCTGTAGAGTCCTCCTGAACTTCCGCTCTTCTTCCCCACACCCTCCTGAGCCTCCTGCTCATGGCACTCCTCTCTCTTGCGCCTGTGTAGTGCTGAGGCAGGGCCGGACTTTGAACTGCGGCTGGAGCTGTATGGGGCCTGTGTGGAAGAAGAGGGAGCCCTGGCTGGTGCCCCCAAGAGGCTTGCCACCAAACTCAGCAGCTCCCTGGGCCGTTCCTCGGGGAAGCGTGTCAGGGCATCGCTGGACAGTGCTGGGGGCTCCGGGAACAGTCCCATCCTGCTGCCTACCCCAGCTGTGGGGTAAGATCACGTAGTACCCAATGCCTTCAGCTGCCTTCAACTCCCCACTGGTGACCATGACACCGTGAATGAGCAGGCATTCTGCCCAGCCCTAGAGTTAGGCCTCAGTCCACGAACCTGACAGTGGGGGCCGGGGCAGAGAGAGCTAGGCTTTGGGGTCTTACCTGGTTAGCAGGCACAGAAACATCTTATAGGACTTGGGGGTGTAGCTCAGTTGGTAGAGTGCCTGCCTAGCATACACGAAGCTTTGTGTGGGGTAGTGCACAGCTGTTATTCCTGCACTTGGGAGGTAGAGGAAATAGGATCGAAAGTTCAAAGTCATTCTCAGCTGCATAGTGAGTTTATGGCCATCCTGGTATACATTAGACCCTGCCTCAAAACCCCCAAAACAGGGATGGGGAGAACAACACAATGGCTAAAGCACTTGCTATGCAGGCATGGAGACGAGTTCTGATCCCCCAAAACCTATCCCAGGGCTCACCTGGGTGGGGAGCTATGTGGTCTCCAGGACATGCTAGCTAGCTGGACTAGTCCAACTGGCAAGCTCTGGGCTAGGTGAGCCATCCTCCCTCCATGAACAACGTAGAGAGCAATTAAAGAGGACACGCAATGCTAATGTCTGGCCTCTACATACACATGTGTGCCTCCCATACATATACCCAAACCAAACAACGTAGATACATCTACAGCTGTGCTGAGTTGGGCAAGCTCTGTGGCGGAGCCTATAGTCCCCTGAAGTTACTGGGATCTGTTGACTGAAGAACACTCACCCTCAGGAAACTGCCAGGAGAGTTTCATTGGGATAGTGTATGAGTGAGGGCCAGGTGCCTAGGGGGCGGGGAGACAGGAGGGAGCTAGTTGTCCATGTAGCCTGGCAGTGGGACAGATCTCACACACCACACTCCACTGATGTCCCCTTCTCCCTCCAGGGGTCCTCGGTACCACCTCTTGGCTCACACCACTCTCACCTTAGCAGACGTGCAAGATGGATTCCGTACACATGACCTCACCCTCGCCGGTCATGGTGTGTGCATGAGTGTGTCGGGGGCCCTGGCAGCGCTGAGAGGGGTGGTGGGATTGTCCCCTTCTCGTTTCCCATCCTTACCCTGTACTTCCTCCTCCCCCAGAGGAGAACCCTGACTGGCTGCCCCTTTATGGTAGCGTGTGTTGCCGCCTGGCAGCCCAGCCTCTCTGCATGACTCAGCCCTCTGCAAGTGGTACCCTCAGGGTGCAGGTGAGGGGTCCTACAGGAGTGGAAGGGGGCATGGAGGAGACAGCTGGGCCCCTAAGGATAGGATGATAAAAGTGTTACTCTGGGGGACAAAGTGGGATGGGAAGGCAGCACGGTGAGTACTGGGGACATGGGGTCAACGGGTGACTGAGAAGAAGGTCCCTGGTGGGGAGGCAAGACTCCTTAGAAAACACCAGGTTCTTTATGCAGCAAGCTGGGGAGCTACAGAATGGGACACTCGTGCACGGAGTCCTGAAAGGCACAAACCTCTTCTGTTATGGGAGATCCGAAGATGCAGACACCGGGCAAGAACCACGGTTTACTGTCGCCATCAACAAGGTGATGAGTCTGGTGGTCATGAGGCCACCTGGGACTTAGGCCCGGGCACGAGAGTTGGGCTCAGGCCTCAGAGACAGGGCAGGTGGACTCTGTTTCTAAAAGCACCAAGCTCCACAGCAGGGTTGGGGATGCAGAGAGACCACTTCCCCATATCTTTCCACCCCTCAAACAATACTAAGAAAGTTCTCCTGCTCACTCAGCATTCCCAGCCCTTTCCAAATCCCAGGGGATTCTCCTGCTGGGTCAGGCAGCTCTTCCTCCAGTCCTTTGTGCTTCCAGTTTGTAGCTGCTGATAACCTGCCGTCTGTCCCTACACAGGCCCAATTGGGCTGCTATGCCCCCTTGCCCTAGGGTTGCTTTCCTCTGTGTTTGCGAGAGACTTGAGTGTGTTAGGCAAGTCTGCCCCAGCACTGCACCCCAGGCACCCTGCCTGTGTTTTGTAAGTACTGGGTGGGTAACCCAGACCCGGGCCTTGGTGACTCCTGCCCACCTTTGCACCTTCTCTGCCTTGCTCTGTCCCTCTTTTCTGTCTCTGCCTGTTGCTCCCTGTCTCAGCATAGATACTTTATCCCCAGCATCCTCACTGTCCCCTCACCCCTCCCAGAGTTAGCAGAAGGTAAATGCAGACTCAGCAGAAGTCCCAAAGGTACTTTCCAGGCAGGGGTGATGGGCTGCTTCTCAACTAAGGCAAAGGTGAAGTCAGATCTGCTTTCTCCTGCAGGAGACTAGGGTCCGGGCAGGGGAGCTGGAGCAGGCCCGGGAATGGCCTTTCACTCTCAGCATCAGCAACCGCTATGGAGATGATGAGGTGACCAACACCCTCCGGGTGGAGAGCAGAGAAGCCCTGCAGAACTGGATGGAGGCGCTGTGGCAGCTCTTCTTTGACATGAGTAAGAGAAAGGGCTGGGCTAAATCTCTGGGAAGGCTGGAGGGCTGACTGCCGCTTGGGAGCTGGGAATGCGGGAGCAAGCAGGCAGCTCCTGCAGCTGGCGCTCTCCTTGCAGGCCAGTGGAAGCATTGCTGTGATGAAGTCATGAAAATCGAAGCTCCTGCACCACGGAAACCCCCACAAGCACTGGCCAAGCAGGGGTCCTTATACCATGAGATGGGTAAGTCAGGAGCAGTTAGTCGGGGAGCTGATGGGAAGTGGAGTTGGGGACCTCAAGGGGATCCAGGTACCAGAGAGAAAGCACAGGGGGTCCAGGTTTCACTCAGCCCTACTGTCTTCCCCTTTTCTCTCCAATTCTGAAAATCACCTCCACCCAAGTACAGAACAAACCCCCAAGAGCCAGATTCATTCCATGACGTCTGTCCTAACTCCTTCTTTTCTGTTTCCCTCTGTGCATGTGGACTCCTGCCTCCTCTTCTGACCTCACTTGCCCGGCACTGCTTTCTCTCCTTTTTATCTTGGTTTCTTTACCCACTTCTGCTCCCCACCCCCACCCCAATGTCACACAGTCTTATCAGAGCCTGTGGCCTCAGGGGGTCCCGGTGAGGGGCTGCTCCTGCAGAACAATGCCATCTCAGCTGAGATTCGGGCCTTGCTTTCTTCATATTACAGTGACAGGTGACAGTCAGGGCTGAGCAGGCCAGGGCTTGAGCTCTGACTAGTCCCCTCCCCTCCCCTCCCCCCTGGTGCCACAGCTATTGAGCCACTAGACGACATCGCCGCTGTGACCGACATCCTGGCCCAGCGCGAGGGCACAAAGCTGGAGCCGCCCCCACCCTGGCTAGCAATGTTTACAGACCAGCCTGCCTTGCCTAGCTCCTGTGCGCCTGCCTCAGTGGCCCCAGTCCCAACCTGGACGCAACCCCTGCCCTGGGGGCGACCCCGAACCTTTTCCCTGGACGCTGCACCCCCAGATTACTCCCTTGGGGCTTCTCGCTCTGTTGCACCCCTCCCCCCGCAGCGATCCCCACAATCCAGAGGCTTCTACAGCAAAAGTCAGCTCCGCACATGGCTCCAGTCCCCAGTGTGAGAGGCACCAGCAACAGGATCTGGCCAAGAAAGAAAACGACCCAAGGGCAACTGGGTTCTAGGTCCAGCACTGTAGGGTGCTGGGCTCCTCTTCCTCCACTGGACTAGGAAGGAAAGCTGGGGAGGGGTAACAGAAGCCCCTCTTAAGTTGTGGTTACCATAGTACTGAGGAGGCCGTTTCTGGAGCTGGTTGGGATCCCCTAGCTCTTTACCTGGGAGAAAACTGGAAGAACCCTGCCCTGCCTCCCTGCACTAACCAGCCTCGAGGGTGGGCGGCACTAGGGAGCAGGGGGGGAGGCACCTCCCTGGGACTCCTACCCTGACCATTAAAGTTATTTAACAGCTCACTGCCTTCACTTGGTCTTTGAGGGCATGGTCTCTGAGGACCAGTGGCTTCTGTGCGCTCTGAGCCTGCCTCTCCCTCCTCCTGGGAGCTTGTTGTTTAGAAGTGTGGCCGTGAGAGCGAGTGATCAGACAAGGGCTTGGTGGAGGGATACTTTATAAATACCAAGGGAGGAGGGAAGGTTGCTCCTCTGTCAGACACTGCTGAACCTCAGGATCTCAGCAAGCTCGTAACCTGTCACCGCAAAGGAGCTGCCTGATGGGTCACAGAACCGAGCCCCACACACCTGGGTATCAGAAATGCATTCCCCGTGGCAGTGTTCAACCTGGAGGGTGGGGGAAAGACTGCTCAGTCCTGCAGCTCACCCTTAGCTTGGGTCCCCACCCCCACCCTCTACAAACATACCTCAATGGAGCCGCTCTCTGCATTCCTGCTCAGCTTCCAGATATGCACAAAGGTGTCCTCAGCTGCAGAGAGTAGCTAAAAGAGAGAAACCCAAGAGGGATGGGCAGGGAGTCAGAATGCCCAGTCCAGGTACCTGGGGATGGAGTCACACTGAGTACGGAGACAAGCCTGTGCTAGGCATCTAAGCACCAGGAAGGTACTTAGGGGTGCAGGAGACTGACCTTGCCCACTTCTGGAGCTAGGTCCAGGGCACAGACGGTCCGGGCATGGGCACTGATCTGGACGTGGAGTGCTCCAGTAGTGGCATCATAGAGACGCACTTGCCCATCGCCATAGCCTGCAGCTACAATCCCCTGCCACAGCTGCACAGAGGGGCACGGGACCCTGCAAGGGCAATGTTCAATTTTGTTTCTCCAGACCCCAACATATCCCCTGCCCTCAAAAAGGCCATAACCCTCTTCTGCGTCTCCTACCCAAATCCTGGTATTCGGGTCAGTAATGTGAACACAGTTCCTGACCTCCAGACACAGAGAACACCTGAGTCATCAGCTGTCACCATGTCAGCAACACCATCCTGAGGAGAAAGTCGGGGTCAGCTCTTCCCTTTATAGTCTGTGCGGCCCAGGGTCCAGGGCAGGAGGGGAAGGGAAGCCATGCCTGCCTCTCTGCTTCTACAGGGAAAGGGCAAGAGCTCAAGATATCAGACACTTCTCTGCCAAGTCTCTTAAGCACAGACTCCTTGTAGGTCCTTATAGGTTTCTCACCCCCACCCCCATGCCCCCATCACGGGGCAGGAGAGGACATATATAATTGTTCCTCTGGGATAGGTGACAATGCTAAAGCCACCAGTTCCCGACTTTTTGCAGGCTTCATACTGAGCCAACCACAGTCACAGCTGGTCCCTAGGCCTCCTTACTGATGCAGGTGGACAGAACAGGTGCTATGAACGGTACAAATTATAAGCCCCACGTCCTGCTCTCAAGAGGTTTGCAATCCAAGCGGGAAGAAGGGGAAGTTTTCTGTGAGGACAGGGCTTACTCAGAGTGAAGCTGGGTGGCAGGGTGGACCAGGGAGACAGCTTTCTAGAAAGGCCAGAGAAGGAAGCTACAGCTGTCAGTGTTGGCAGCATCTGGGAAAGGGTCAGCTTTAACTTCTGGCTTCACACCAGCGCTGAAGAGGGCTAGTGATTTTTCTAGAACTCTTAACATAAAGCATGTTTCCCTCAGACTGGAGGCTACTACATCTAAGAGAGTGAGGATGATCCCAAAGCCACACTTCTACTTGGTGGCAGAGCTAAGACCCAAATGGGGCACTAGAATAGCTAGAGGAAGTGTACTCACCTGTCCCTGGGCACGCTCAGTGGCGATGTCTGTGATTGGTGTCTGGTGCCCCGCCAGCTCCTCATTAAGTACAATGTTGGGACCCTTGGCAGGGATGTCAAACACCAGTACCCGGCCGGACCATGTTCCTGCAACCAGAACCAGTGTCCCACTGATGGCTTCCTGACCCCTCTGGGCCTCCAATCACCGCCCAACACTCCCTCTACCCAAGAAGTCTTAGGAATAAACTGATTGCTCCAACAGCACTGACTTTCCGTTCACTATCCCTCTGTAAATGTTTTTTTTTTTTTTTGATTTTTCGAGACAGGGTTTCTCCATAGCTTTTTGGTTCCTGTCCCGGAACTAGCTCTTGTAGACCAGGCTGGCATCGAACTCACAGAGATCCACCTGCCTCTGCCTCCCAAGTGCTGAGATTAAAGGTGTGCGCCACCACCGCCCGGCTCTCTGTAAATGTTTTTATGAGTCTCTGATACCCACCCTTCCTCACCTTCCCCCAACCCTTCAGAAGTTCATCAGCTCCTCAGCATCCCCCTGGCTGAGAACCCATACCAATGTACCTCATCCACCTTAATGCCCTGCCCTTAGTCCTCTCACCCACACAGATGAAGTGAACACTGGCAGCGATTCCTCGGGCAAACATGGCCTGTGCTGAATAGAAAAACAGTTCTCAGAAGCAGCACTTCCTCCAGCCCTAGTGAATTCTCCCAGCCTCCACCCCTGCTCCACTTGGTCCTGCAGGTACCTGAAGACGTGTCTCCTGAATCCAAGGCATGCCAATAGACCATGACGGAGCCATCAGACTCGTACATCTGTAAGATGGAGAAAGGACGGCAGGATGATCCAGCTGACCCTTGCTGAGCTCTGGGCCCCTGCACTGACTTCACACAGCCATGTCAGCCTGAGTCCAGGGAACCCTCCAACTTGTCCTGGGAGGCAGCCACCATTCTTATCCCTAGTTTTCAGAGGAGGGCACTCAGGCTACATGTCCCGAAGGTCACAGAGTTATTGAAGGAGGCAGATGGCTGAAGTGGCGCTTGAAGAGTGAAGAGAACGGAAAGCAGGAAGAAGAAACTGGGAGAAAGGGTGGGCTACACATGCGGAAAGCTTGGAAGTGTTTATTCATAGGGAACTGGAGAGGGTGTGCATGAGGAGAGTGGGGAGGGGGACTCTCTTCTCACCTGTATCCTTCGATGTGAGGTGAGAACCAGCAGTACTCTGAAAGGGAGGACGCACCAGTGGACCTGGAGAGACACGCATAGGCATCACAGCAGACAGAGAGCATGAGGCGCCAAGAGCATAGGGTTTAAAGAACAAAGGTAGAGTAGATTTAAGCAACGCCTCTTTGACTCCTGGCCTCACCTGAGTGATAAGTGGGGGGCTCACTCCAACGCCCACTTTGACTTGGAGCTGGCGCTGGGCCAAGGGCACACCCTCAGAGGCAGCGCTGAGAATCTGGGCACTCGGTCCATGAACCACTCCAAAATGTGTGAGATCACGGGCTGGAAGCTGCAGCACACTGAGGTTGTTAGACAGGGCGGCGGCAGAGCCGCGAAGTGGGATGGCGCGCTCGCGGAGGTACATCCTGGGGGAAAGATACTAGAGTCACTGGAGTGGACCAGGAGAAGGCCACAGAGGGTACTTGGACAGGGGAGAAGGGCAATGAGATGCAATCGTCAGATACTGAGGAGAGACCCTTGATTGACGGGTTTCACGAGGAAAGCGATGGGAAACAATCACAAGGACGAGAGAATCCCATGGAACAGGAGAAAGCCCAGGGTTGAGTATTGCGGCCAACAGGGAATCGCAAAGGAATAATGGTGATGGAAGAACTGGTAAGTACTGAACGCTACAGCCAAAAAGGCAGAAGGAGGCCTCCAGCCCTTCCTCCCACAGTTTGGTTACCTGCAAATCCACGCCAAGGTCAGAGGTCACACCTGCAACCCCCTCCACCTTCACCCCCAAGTCTGTCTTGCCTGACGGGCGATCTTCAGGTCCCTCCGAATCCGCCGCCACCATAGAGACGACGCACTGACGCACGGCCTCTGGGCGGGGCCTGGGGCTGGAATGGGCGGCGCGTGGCGCAGTTGCCGGAGCAACCGTGGACCGCGCTTGAGACCTCAGGGCTGCCTGGTTGCCGAGGCGACCGTTGAGCCGTGGCCGCGGAGGCTGAAGCAATGGAGGGTCCTGGAGGCAGTTGAAACACCGCGTTGGAGCGACTGTCGCGACAATGTCACACGAAGGCTCGGTGAGCTTCAGTTCGACTTGGGGGAGTGCAAAAGAACTGGGGTTGGCGGGTGTATGGAGCGATGGTCTAGCTCTGGGTTCAAGAAGGGCATGAAGTACCACTGTTCCCGCGGTAAAAGAGTCAATGGCTGGACCAGGCAAAGAGCAAGTGAATTTGGAAACAGCTGACCTGCTAGTGCAAGTAGTAATTCATTTATGCCAAGGAACCTGTTTTGGTGGGTAAAACAGAATCAGGCACTTGAGAGGGCTTGATGGTTGAATCTCTATCTTGACACTTTCAGGACCATGAAATTGATTAAATAATTCAGAGGCTGACCTTAAAAGTTAATTTATTGTATTATCATTATTATTATTTTTTGAGACAGATGTGATTATGTAGACTAGGCTGGCCTTCAACTCAGAGATCTGCCTGCTTCTGCCTCCAGAGTGCTGTGATTAAAAGCATGTGCTATTATAGCTGGCCTTTTATTTTGAGACAAGGTCTCACTGTGTAGCCCTGGATGGCCTAAACCTCACTATGTAGATCAAGTTACCCTTGAACTCATAGCCTCTTCCCATACCCACACCCTCCCATCCCACTGACAAAAGCCAAATTGTTGAAGTTAAGAAAAAATTATCTTATGTGTATGGGTGTTTGGTGTGTGTATGTAGTATGTTCGTGCCTGATGCCTGCAGAGACCAGGAAAGGGAACTGGGGCTACCGTTTTGAGCCATCATATGGATGCTAGGAACTAAATCCAGGTTCTCTGGAAGAGCAGCCAGTTCTCTTAACTGCTGAACCATCTCTCCCATTCCCAAAGTCAAGGCATTTAAAAAATAAAACAGGAAGAACCTTGGGGAAATGAAAGAGTAAAAAAAAAAAATCACTGTCCTCTTTTGTCAGGTGCACTTCCCATCTCTGTGAGATGCAAGGCTGGGAGGAGACACCTAAAGAATTGGTTCTTTGTTTGGGCTTTAAAGATTTAGGCTGAACACAAGGAAGCCTGGCTTTAATCCCAGCACTAGGCAGATGGTCTCTGGGACTCTAGGGCTAGGGAGTGGGAGAGTAGAGAATAGGAGACTCCAGATTGCCTGGGAGGATGGATATTAGGAAATGGAAACCGTGACGCAGTAGGGTTGGAGGTAGGCAGATGTGGGTTTATATTTGGAGGTGAGTTTTGGAAGGAACCTTCTTCCTTCATTGTCTTCCTGTAGTCCAGCCCAGCCTTGAACACATGGCAGACTTCAGGCTCCAGAAGTCTGGGTTTACTGGTATAAGCCACCACAACTGGCTCTGGCCAATTTTACAAATTGTTATTACTCATCTACATCAAATATTATGTCCCTAGTTTACCTTTGGGCTTGCCTTAGTTACTTGCCTATTGCTGTCAAAAAAAAATTACCATGACCAAAGCAATGTATAAAAGAGCTTTATTTGGGACTTAGTTCTGGAGGGTCAGAATCCACAGCCATCATAGTGGGGAACATGGTGGCAGGCAGACAGACATGGTTCTGGAGGAGCAGCGAGAGCTCACATCTTGAGACAACTACAAGGCAAATAGAGCTAACTGCAAATGAAGGGCTTTTGAAACCTCAAAACTGGCCCCTCCTTATTCACTTCCAACAAGGCCACACCTCCTAATCCTCCCCAAACAGTTGCATCAACCAGGGATCAAGCTTATGGGGAATGTTCTTATGCAATCCATCACAGGGTTCTTTAATGAGTTTTTTAAATGTTTTTGTTACATTTATTTGTGTGTGTGAGAGAGGGATGTGTGCCGTGGCGCATGGATGGAGGCTGGAGGATGACCTGTGGAGTTGCTTCTCTGTTTGTGGTCCTGAGAACCAGAGTTTGCTCATTACATGTGGCAACAAACACCTTTACCTGAATGAGTCATCTCACCAAGCCTCATTTTCTTTATTTCTCTTTGTTTTCAAAAGTTTTAAAAATGTATCTGGGCATGTGTTTCTTTTCCATATTTTTGCAAATATCTTTATTTGGGAAGCAAGAGTCAGGTTTTGAAATTAGACAAATCTGTGTATGAATTCTAACTACACTATTTCCCAGGTGTGATCTTAGGCAAAATACATAAGTGGGATTAAAAATAATGGTTAAAGATGGCCTTGTAGTGTACGCCTGTAATCCTAGCAACTCTATTTGGGAGGCAAAAGGACCATAAGTCAGAGGGGATGGGATAACTTTAAGGAAACAGTGTCTTCCAAGCTCAACAAAACTGATAAACATATAAACTCAAGAAGATTGTGGTAGCATGAGCAGGGCCTGCACAAGTGTGAGCCAGAGGGGCCCCAAGTGCTGGAAGGGGTAAGTGAGCACAAGCTCCCATCCCCATCCAAGCAGCTCTTTACAACCAGAAATCACTTACAAAACAAAAATCAGTGTTACCCAATGGAGTCTCACGTCCCGTGCCCCAGAAGTAGATATCCAACAGAAACGATCTCAGTGGTGCTTTTGTAGGTTGTTTCATTTGAACTTTTTTTAAAAAATCTTTCTGGTCTTTTGTTTGTATATTACGGGTTCTGATTTTGTGTTTCTATGGTTTTTGTTTTGGTGTGCTTGTGCTTTTTCACTGTTTTATATTAGATTTGTTTGCCTTTTTAATTTGCCTGTGTTCTAAAGAGAAAAAGAGGAAGAAGGCCTAGAGTTGGTGAGAGTGGCCGTGGGGAGGAACTGGAAGATGGGAGAAGGGAAACTGTGATCAGAATGTATTGTATCAATTTTCAATTACAAAGAAAAAGAGGACCACAAATTAATTTCAAGGCCTGCTTGTACTACAGAGTGAGTTCAAGACCTGCCTTGGCGTCTTAGTGAGATCTCAAAATAAAAAGTAAAAAGAGAGCGGGGGGGGGGGGGGGGGGGGGGGGGAGTAGCAGCACAGGTGTTTGATCCCAGCACTGGGAGGCAGAAGCAGGTGGATCTGAGTTTGAGGCCAGTCTTTCTCTACAAGGAGACTTCCAGGACTATTTAAAGAGACTGTTTCAAACAAACCAGAGGCAAGAGCATTGCTGCAACTCTGAGGTGTGCCTAGCCTACATAGCAAGTTCCAGGGCCAGCTAGGGCTACATAACAATACTTGTTGAAAGCAAAACAAAGCAGAGGAGACTAGGTACTAGTGACCTCATTGACTCACAGATTCAAGTTCTTTGAACTCTCAAGAACGTGGATACTGTGGTAAAGCAAATAGCTAGAGCTGTAAATTGAGCATGATTAGGTCTGGGGTTCAGTCTGCATCCCAAAAGGTGAGAGTTAACTCCTGTCAAGTATCAGTTTCCTTGCTTCCTGGGCTGCTACGTTATTAAACCGAGTTGCATACCTTCAGTGTCCCTCCACAGCCTCGCAGACTCTAGTGCCTTGTCCTAGTCCCTTTTCTTACTTAGTAAACATCTCGAGAAAGCGTCTTTCTAGCACTTAGTCCATCAGTTCCATCCCTTCGGTTTCCTGTTCCGTTTCCCCACAGAGGCAGGCGCGAGACCGTGGGGTGACCCGATCCAAGGCTGAAAAAGCCCGGCCGCCCACCCAGCCGGTGCCGCAGGTGGACATCGTGCCTGGGCGGCTCAATGAGGCAGAATGGATTGCGTTTATGTCCCTGGAGGAGGGCGAGGAAGTAGTGGGTGACATCTTGGCCGACCTTCTGACTCGAGTTATGGAGTGTGCCTTCAAAGTCTATCTGACCCAGCAGGTGGGCCTAGATTTGGGTCTTCCAGACCCGTTTTTTTTTTTTTTTTTAAATCACTCCCGCCCCTCCTGAGGAAGCTGAGACACTCCCTCACTTCCACAGTGCGTCCCATTCACCATTAGTCAGGCCAGAGAAGCCATGCTGCAGATCACTGAGTGGCGCTTCCTGGCCCGGGATGAGGGAGAATCTGCAGTGGCCGAGGACCCCACGTGGGGCGAGGACGAGGAACCGCTGGCATGCATCACGGATGCTTGGGCCCAAGGTTCCGTGCCTGTACTGCACGCACCGGCACCCGTTGGTGTAGAGGAGCACTTCCAAGACGAAGTAAGCCCAAGCCCCGGCCTCCTTCCGACAGAAGTCTCCTCCGGAGCCGCTCAGGACCACGAAGTGAGGTCCTTCCCCACTCTTCCTACATCTCATTACCCTTATGTGTTTCCCCAGGAACCTGGGAACCCGGACCAGTTCCTTTTAGGTTCACCGTGGTTGGACAGAGACTCCCGGGAGCCAACAGCATCTTCAGGGCCTTCTGCCGAGCCAAGACCCACGCCCACCTTGGAGGTGTTTCAGGAAATTGAGCCCGGGGATATCTTGGAAGACCCCAATGACCAGGAGCAGAGCCACATCCTAGCCACGTCTTCAAACGCGTCTTTACGGCCTAGCCACATCTTGGCCGTGCCTTCGAAGGAGTCCTTACGACCTTCGATGGAGGAGGTGCGAGTCCAAAGTCCCCATCCTTCCCTGGATCTGCCCCAAGCAGTCAACCTCCAGGCCTCTGAGGAGAAGGATTCGTCCCTCAGCTTCCACCTGTCCCTCGAAGATCTTTACCGCTGCGTGTCTCAGCCAGACGCGGCAGGGGACCGGCTGAAACCCGAGAGCAAGGGCACGACACGCACCTCCTCGGAAGGGTCTATGCCTCTCCTCACCCTAGAAAAGCCCTCCGGGTCGCCACAGCCTGAAAGCTCGGATACGCGGCATAGCCGCAAGACGCCCATAGTGCGCCTGGATCCCGCACGGTTGCCCCGCCACTGGGTGCGCCCTGTGGCCGAGGTCCTAATCCCCGACACCGAAGCTCGCCCTTTGGAAATATATCGCGGGCGCCTGCGGGGTGAAAAGAGCCAAGCTGGGGTCCGAA